CCCTACACACATAGATACCCACGCATGCACAGTATTTCTCATTCACCACCTCTTAAGAAGTGATGATTAGCCAATCTTACCTCATTCTCCTCCACATACATAAATCCAGATGCAGAGGGAGAATTGTTTGTTTTTACAGCTCCTTTCTAAATGTATTTGGGTTTTGAGAGTTTTTGTGGCAGCTTTGAACATTGCTGGTGGGCCTAATCTACAGTCTGAAAGCATCCCTAGAGGATACAGCTTAACATAACAACCTATGATCTGCATATACAAAAGTATTTTAACTGGTGTGCAAAGTCCTCTAGAGCTTGCAAATCTAAAACAATTTTAAAAATGAAAGTACTATCAAGCATAGTATACTGAAAGTTAATTTGTCTATGTGAGAGAAATTGTGAACTTTGAAAACGCCATGAGATATAGAGCTAAAGGGGATCATAATTTTTGGCCTTAGTTAGAACAGTTCCAAGATTTCAACCAGAGATCTGAGTCAGAAAAGAAATCTTTTTAGACATACAGCTGTAGCCTTCGTTTCTAACTGTAGCCCATGGCATCTCGGCTTTGGGACCTCACCTGATGCAGAATTTTATACCACCTCACATGCTGATTTGTACTCTAGTTTTAGGTATGTATTTTAACACAGCTCTAGCAAAACCCACTGGCTCCATGACTCAATTGTGATGCCAGATACACCTCTTCATACTAATGTTTAGAATTTATTTCAAAGTTGAACATCAGGGAGGATGTCAGCTGAATTTTGCAGGCAAGAGATCAATAAATGGATGCAGTTTGAATAGCTGGCTACGTTCCTTAATGATCCGTGTGATCAACTGAAATTTTAATCATTTTATTCAAAGAAACCCAGTTGCCAAATTTCTGATCATTCTTCCCACACACTGAAACCAAGGAGAAGGCAGAAAAATAAGTGTAGAATTGCCAAACAAGTCACAGCTACTTTTGTGACTTTTGTCAGCTCATAGTGAAACTAGAACAGATTCTAAAATAAAAAGAAATTGCAAAATGTGTTTTGACTTTTAAAACTCCAAAAAAAAAAGTAGCTAGAAATAAATAATTTTTAGTCATTCTGATTAGAGTTTGAGTATTATTCTGGATCATAAAAAACGTATTTCCCCTAACTCTTGGTAGCCATAAAACTACTTTCTGTTTGAGAGACACTTTGATTTATCTGAGCATATATAATGCATCATATTGCTAACAGGCTGAACAACTATTTTTAAGTGAAAAGAAAACATAGACCAATAAGCCACACCTACACCTATTCTACTGTCTGACCGTATCCCTTGATGCCTGTATTTAAAAGGCTTGCAAGCCTGCCTCCTATAATCTTCATACCTACCCTTATCTACCAGAAAAAGCTCTTGCTCAGCTTTCATTGTTGCTGATATGCTTTCTTTACTGTGACTCTTCCTTGAACTGACTCGTTCTACTTGACAAAAATCTCTAAGTAGCAAACTGGTTCTTCTCAAGGGTAAAGCAACTTGTTTTTCTCAAAATGTTCTAAATTTTGTGTAGCCTAACAGAAGAGTTTAAGAGGATAGTTTTGTCTCTAATCTTGAGAAGGACAAATGTGATTAATTCTTCTGTGCTCCCATTTGTTAATGGAGTGAATTCAAAAGGAGCATTGCAAATTGTTGCCATATAATTTCACAGAGCTTTGTTCTGATCAAAATTTTTTCTTGGGAGCTGAAGAGGGGGGAATTGACACATTGCAACCTGTAAAACTATCCTGTAGCTAGTTCAGATACTTGTGGCTTCCAGAGTAAACACCTGGTTGAATGTGATCCTCTGAAAGAACCACAGTCTGAGAGAGCAGATGTGTTACTACTATTGACAATAGGACTGTCCATGGACTTTAAGTTTGCAAGACCGTGCCGTATTTACTTCAGAGTAGCCCCCCTGATTTCAGCAGAACTAGACGAACACAAATACGCCATGATGGGATCCTTGTTCAGACAAAGCTTTGAGGCAGATAGACCTATAGCAATCCCTACCTCCAACCGAAGGGCTTTCAAATTCAGGTAAGCTGGTATATTGGTATATAAACTAGAATAATTAACTTTTTAAATAGAAAAATCTTAACATAACTAGGTAAAGCAGAGTAGAAATGACAAAGTTTATTCAGAGCTCTCCTTTTGCCTAGTATGTATTCGCTGCTGCTTTATTGCTCCCAGGTTTATTTTATTTAACTCAGTAACTTTCTGAATGGCGATAAAGCCTGCTCAGACTCCTCTGGTCCTACATATCCTGCTTGATACTCCCATTTCTCCTAGACGAGGTCAGTATAGTTAACAAAGAATTTTCATCTCAGCAGGCATGGGTTATAGGGGAAACAGAGGGACTTAAAAGTTCAGTGCCTTGTGATGCTTCATGTAGAGGTGGTTGACAAAAGATTTTATCAACCCATTTTCTTTAAAAACCGCTATTGCACAGGACACATAGGAGACTGCAGTGACTAGTCTTGCAGAAAGCACTGACTGAGAAAATATATTTTTTGGTGGCCCTAGCAAACTGGCAGAACTGCATTTGTAGAAACCCCCCAACCCAACCCTTTTCTATCCATAACTGATCCTTCCAGCACCTATGGCAGCATAATGCTTTAAAGCAACCCCCTCTAGGAAGAGCCACTTAAGCAGATGCATCACCTATAATTCACTAATTTCCTATTGTGCATTTGCACTCCATAAAGTGCTCACAGAAGAAGAAAGAAGTTTATCTTCCAGCTCAGCTGTTTGTTTGTTTTTTGTTTTGTTTTGTTTTTTTTTTTCCTCAATATCCCTCCAAAAACTTCAGGGTTTGTTCAGTTCTGTTTTTATGCATGTGACAGGTAGTTTTACCCAGAAAACACAAGGTCTAACTTCGATAATGTAAGTATAACTAAACAGAAGGTTATTAAGTGATTCATGAATGATCTAAAATAAAAGATGGAAAAATTAAATATACCACATGGCATTCTGCAGCCTGTGAAGAAGGAAGAACTGTAGACTTTTGTCCCAAATCCTTTGAAGACATCTTTGAAGTGGCTGGAGAAATACTAGGTGGATGTTCTTGGATTTCAGGCTCTGCTTTATTGTCAGGGATGGGAGCTATCTGAATGGAAAGAGATGCTGTGTGTATCTCAGGCACGGGGTTACAGGCAGGTGAGACAGGCCTTTGTGGAAATACCGGCACTTCAACAGGCTTGAGCTGTTGCTGTGTATTACAATGAATGCTACTCACTGGGTCACGTGTCCGGGTTAATTTCAGGGTAGATACCCTACGTTTTTGAGACTGCTGCCTTTGGCCTTGATGGAGAGTAGTATTAATACCAGCTGCTGTGCTTGTGCCTGCACTGGAGATTGAGATGAGTGGTTTAATGATTTTTTGCGCATAGGACACACTTGTGTTAGATATTTGAGAAGACATTGTCTTCTGGGCAGACTTCTCGTTAGTGTAATAGGCAGTATCTGTGGGAAGGTGTTTAGCTGGACCGGTTGTTACTGCCTGGAGATTAATTTCATTCTTGTGATTAGTTACTCTTGCTTTCCGAAAACTTTCTTTTCTAGGGGGTGGCAGAGGTGCCTTATTTGCCAAAAGCATCCACACACAGCAAAATAACATTGAAGAAGAAACAGAAAGAAAGTAAATGGTTAGCAGGAGATATAACTCAGTTTGACTTTTATCTTTAAATAAAGGAACTAGCAACTTAAGGGGCTTCATCCCAACATTGCTCAATTCAATGGACAATTGAATTTGTCAGGTTCCCACCACCTTTTGCTTTGCAGGGCTGTACAGCTTGTGTTTAGAAAGCCAGATGTTCCATTTGCACAGAGTAAACTGGGATCAGAAGGGAGCCCACAATAGTCCATTTTCTTTCAAAAAAACAATTATTACACTGAATAAGAATGATTACTATGAAATTGTTCAGATATGTAAGTAATTTCCAAAATGTACTCCATGATCGTAGGTAACAAGCTATTATTCACAAGTAACACACATATATAAAACACACAGAGCCTCTTAAACCTTTGAATTAAAATAGTAACAGAGACAGTATTGACATTGGTATGTTGATCTTTTTTGGACAGATAAATATGTTTCCAAGTTAGGTGGGGTTTTTTTAGTGTTCTAATTATATTGTTCTGCAAAACAGCCAGAGACATTGTCTACCTTATAATTAATAAACCTTTATCCTCTGATATTATTTTCATGACTGATACATTTCTCCAAGTGTAAAATATTAATAAATACTCTTTGAAGTCTGGGAACACTCCTAGAAAGCTTTTATTTGTGTATGACCTACTTTTATTTAGCTGGCTGTCTTGTTCATTGAAAGCAATTTCTGGCAATTAACCCGGAGGCATGCAGCCTGTGTGGAGTATACTTTATGCAGTAAAACAGTTTGTAATGACCCATATGAACAGGTGATTCGCACTATCTGGAAGACATCAGGACAATGTTCCATAGAGGTATCCCATCTATATATGCTATCCCCCAAAACCCACACACAAATGCCAAAGCATGAAACTTGGTGTGTTCAGTTTTACCTGAGTTGGTGATTTTTTATCCTGTAGATTTGGCCGCACGCTCCTAAAACCTTTTGCTGCAAGAGACGAACTGCTAGCATCTCCATTCAGTGTCTCTCTACTTCCATCATTGTAAGATCTCCAAGCTTTTGTGAGGAAAAAAGAATCAAACAGGTTTTTTTGTGATTAGTAGATCTCTATATTGCTATCATCATAGCAACCCAGCTATTAAAGAAACTGTGGAAAAGTTTAGCTACTACACAACTGACATTGCTGCTGTTATCACCATGGAAGTTATAAGAACAGGGCAAAGCTGCCACTTTACAAAATATTTATCTTAAAAATTTAGAAAACTCAAGCATTGACAATACTGCTGGTAGCAGTTTGATATCTCCCCACAACATTCATACAGACTATGGATTTTAACCTTGGGAGTCCTTTTGAGATATTGGTGCTTCAACCCCTGTACAAAGCAGGCTGAAGTACTTTCACAGATTAGGTTCTTGAACTTCACAGCTGCATCGGATTTTGAAAAACATCCCAGCTCACATAAAGTTAGTTGGTCATGGCAGTTTCACCAAATTTCACCACAATACCCGATTAGTTGTTCCAATAATGCATCTTATTTCCAAATCTGAATGACACCTCGATTTTCGAATCAACCAACCATGTTTTGTCTATCCTCAGACCTGAAAAGTCCTCAAGGAATTGTCCAAACATAGAGGGAGATACTATCCTGCCTCAACAAGTTACAGATTTGAAGACAAAATATTGTAAGAGGCTGGCAAAAGTAACACATTACGTGAGCAGGCTGCTAAGTGGAGTGGGTAGAACTTGCAATCCTGAGTAAGGGACTAAAAATGAAACAGCAAGTGCCACTGAAGATAAAGGTGGCAAATTAGCAGTCTGTATTCTCCCACACAATTCATTTTCTGACAACATATACTGTGTTATAGGCAATACTTTCAAATGAGACCTGAATTTGAGGTCTTAACCACTTGTAATTATTATGACAATTTCAGTGGTGCTTTCCTTAAGGAACGTGGATGTATGGAGTAATGAAATCAAATAAATGGAAGACTGTCATAACTCACCACTTACATGGTATTACACTGATGCATAAATAACACAGTGTTTTATTTACCTGAATCTGGAGACTGAGAATCAGACCCTGAAAAAGAAGCATTCAATATTAATTTGTATTAGAAATAAAAACACGATGACACAACCTGGAAAATATGTAGGAGTCTTGTTGTTCAGTTACCTAATTCCCTCCTGTTACCTAAGCACACCTCAGAACATCAGACCGCAGGTAACTGTGCAATGTTTATTGCACAAGTTCTACAGAAGATTATAGTGTGCTGAGAGTTACTGTTATTTAATCACTGCTATTTCAGGCAGCCAATAATAAACAAACATTTGCTGTGGTTTTTTCCCAGTAAATACTGTGATATACTACCATCTAAAACCTAGATATCAAAAGAAATATCATTCCTTTAAGATGAGCTGGAAAGGTTTAATTCAAAAGCAAGAAAGATGTCTACAGATTCTGTCAGGATTTTCCCTCCCCCTTCACACCAGAATGTGTGATGCTTTCTTCATCACTTCAAAGCAAACACAGAAACTGATACATACATACTGCCAGCACAGAACAGATTTGAAATTCTGCTGGTTTTTTGGATTACTTGTAGATATATTAGTGTTTTTTCTCCTAAAGAAACTAAAATTACGACATCTCTAAACAAATTTAAAATATTTATAATATACAATAATTACAGTACTAAGAGCAGTCCTTATCACTAATTTTAAGTGCAACAAAGCAAGACTTTAAGAGGCTTGTATTGCATGCTTAAATGATAAAAAATTGTTAGAGGGGTTGCTAAGAAATAAGAACCCAATGTTTTCTTAAATTTCCATACACACAGTAATCCTAATAACCCTTCCACTATCCTTACAAAGAGTAGCAACCAAATTCTTAATTTGCTTCATAAATTCTAACAGTTCTTACTCTTGGGGATTAGTCTTATATTTGAAAATATCTACAAAAGACTTGATCTTGCAATTATTTTCTGGCTCATTCTTTATTCAGCTTCCTGTATTATACTTGTTTGGTGTGAACACTGCATGTTCAGATTGGTGTAAATTAGTCCACACCACTCAAGATTCTTTGCTGATTTATACCAATAACTACTTAATTCACCAGTGAACCTGGGCAGCTGATACCCATTAAGATTTAATTTTGCAAAACCAAACATGAGTGTTGCTAAGAAGCAGATCTGCCTGTCTACTGAATATTCTGCATGTTTTTATTGTTTTAAACATTTTTAGGAAAACATGCTTGATAAATGATTTTTTAAAAGTTAATCTGGCTTCTGACAATCATTTTACAACAGCATTCAGATCCTTTTCCTTTGAGAAGAGTTTTTAAAGCAAGCTGTCATAAACAAAGTTTGTAATAAACAAAACCTACTTTTCACGCTATGTTATCTTGAAAAAAAACAGGGGACATGAGACCCAAAATATGTATCAAAGGCAAAATTAATTTATGAATAACTGATTTTTCCTAAGTCTTCTTAATTTTTTTCATTAATGGCTACTAAGCATAGGCAGAGAGAAATTAAGACTACTTTTTAAAGAGCACTGTAGAAGTAAGTAACAGACATGTCAGTGGAACAGAAAACATGGTTACCCTTCTCCTCCTTGCAGTATGCATAACACTATAGAAAAGCCATTCAGGAGTAGTATCTCACTGGTTAGCGGTTATACCTGAGGCCAATAGGTTTGGAGAACTCTGAACTCTCTTCACAGCTGTTAATGTGACAGACATTGCAGCACGTTTGCGAGCACACCCACCGCTATCTGGAAGCACAAAACAGTACAGACAGCCGCCCCAGACAAAGGGAGCAAGCACATGCAACGTATCACAGTGTGAGATATGCCAAACATACATGAAAATAAGCATGCAGTTAGGGAACTGTGTAAATTTGCACGTTTGGCAGATTAGCAGAATACATAAAATTTCACAAGCTTTAAACAACAATAAACCTCACAGAAAATAAGTAAAGAAAGCAATATTTAATACTTAATCCACTAGGAAAATATATACATTATGTTACCTGAAAGTCAGCTTAATTATAGCTAATTAGTAAAAACAAACACGTAATCAAGATGACGGATTAAGCATTCCAGAGTAATATTAATCAATAATCTGCACTGTAAAATCATTTCATTGTATGCATTAGAAAGACACCATTCATAAACTAAGCTTATGTTTGATCATCTGACAAAGTGCTTTTGTTCAGTCCTTTGGATCCTTTAAGCTCAAGAAACAAAATTACTAAGGATGGAATAATTTTTTGTTCTTTTGGTGGAACATCCTTGTTCTCCCTCCCCCCTCTTTTATCTAATGGAAGATAAAAAAAAGTATGTCTGGAACCCAATAACATCCCGAGGGAATGACTAGAAATCTAAAATCACTCCAAACAACCAGGAATGGAAAAAACCTTTCTTCTGGATCTTGCATGTTCCCTACCCTGTGCTCCTCTCTCACTTGGAGCCATCATTCTGTTTTATAAATACTTTGTTATTATTAGAAGGTAGCTTTCCCACAACTTAGCTTTTCAGCAACTCTGTCATAGTCGTAAAAGCAAGTTAATAAATATTCTTCCTGATTTTATTTAACTAGAGTATTTTTCTGCTCTTCAATTTAATAATTATTTTAATTTTCATATTTGATATTACTGAAATTTCATACAGGGCCCCACTGAAATCAAGAACCAGAACTACGATAGAGGCCCTAACAGTTTTTATATCTGTGTCCTATGTCAGGGAGTTTTATAAAATTATGCTTAAGGTAGACCTGCAACCTATTAATAGAAAGTATTTCCTATGACAGCAGTAATTTGAGCCACAGCGACATCTTTAACCCACGTCTGCAAGAGAAGTGAGCTCCTGGTATTTCTTTGCTCATTCCAATATTCCCCCGAAATAGCAGAACCCTCTGGCCACAGGTCATGCATTAAGTAGTTGTTAACATTGGCAAACATCAGAGCCACTGCCCCAGGTGTAAGCGGTTCCAAAGACTCATTGCCAATTCCAAGTCTCAAGGCAAAAGGCCAAATGATTTCAGTCAGCAATAGTCGAAAGCAATACGTTACCCACAATTAATTATTGGTGTTATACAAGTGAAACAAAGACAATGGCTATCAAATCTGCACATTTGTTTTAGTTTGCTTACATAAGTATAGAATGGCAATGGTAATTAAAATCACATTTTCCATTCCTGTATTCCCCTCTCCCCCCCAACATACACCAGAAGTAATTCCAAGGAGATTTGATGATGTGCTGATATTGAGGTTCTGTTCGTATCTGAATATTCGCAGACTTTGACAGCATACTTTATTTGATTAATACAAGCTAACAGGCAAACAATTTTGTTATACGGTCACATCTTTTATTCAAAGTGATGCTTTATTTGCATTTTTTTTCCAAGAGCTACCTTCCTGAATTTCAGGATAGAGAAACTGAAGTGTGAGAAAAGGAAGACAAGAAGAAAACTGACTACAAATATTTCATCATTGTAACTTCAAGAAATTCTGCTTCAAATTAATTTTTAATGTAACTGAACTGAGTCAGAGTTTTATACTTAGTGGATTCATTATCTAGCAAAGTGTTTGACATGGCTTCACACAAGATAGCTAAAATAGATGTTGTAATGGACTATACACATATATGCATACAACATTTACCCCTATATAGAGAAGCCCATACGCAAGTCTGTACCTGCAATAACATTCTCAGTATCTGTACAAAATAATGAGAGTCAATTAGCACTAATTAAGACATAACCGCACAAATATACCATATTGAGTTGTGCAAAATTTCTAATAAACTACGGATGTGTGTGGGCAAGCACATATTTATGCATGATGGACTCCACCTTCCCATCTTTGTTCAGGCCAGGCTCCCACTAAGTCAAGGGCATCATATCTGAATGAGGATCAGAAGAATATGCAGTCAAAAGACGCAGTTTTCAAACTGCTTCCCTTATCTGCATGGCCTTACACAGTTGAACTTCAAGAGACTTATTCCAGCCTGTATTCCTTTTTCATAGCTCCATCAAATTTCCAACAAATACTAACTATATTTATCCAGATTCTTGAAGTCAAAATAACACCAAAAATGCTCAAAGTCTAGAGCATAGAGAATTCAAAAACAGTACGGGAGGCTGAATTAATGATCATCTGCTCATTTCTCTTGTGAACTATAAGCAATTAATATTGCACAGCTGTTATTCAAGAACAAATAAGGATACGTGAAACAATCTATACAAAATGTATGCTTATATAAAAAAAATGAAATGTGTGCAAATATGTATACACACACGCACAATTCTCTATGCTTTTGATATGACAAATTCTTCAGGAGTGAGAGTCGTGTCTTCCTAAGTATTGTTTTAACATTGAAGCAAAGGAGACCTGAATCAGCTAAGGTCTGCAGGCAATAATAGAATATGAAGTTGGGCAATAATTCACAATCAAAACAGCTGCCTAAAATGCAAAGCCAGCTCAAATCAGGATGTAGCACGGTTGGTGCCTAGATATTCTTTTGCATACTCCCATCAAATGAGGAAAAGAAAAATAAGCATCCTTAGCAGGTGCTGCAGAAAACAAAGAAGAAAGGGGAGGTAAGGATTATCTGGTGAGACACGTTTCTGACAGTATCTTGCAGAGCAAGGGCCGTATAGGGATGAACTCCTGAATGCTAGGATCAATGTTGCAGACTTCCCTTTAAAGAGAGAAAAAGAAAGAGCCACCCACTGACCGGAAAAGACAGGCAAGGTGGTGGCTTGCCCTCCAGCTAGGAGTATGTGTGTATTTGCGTATGTGTCCTAATGCTATCGTTGTGGCTCTGGATGCTCTCTTCCTCTTGTTAGCTCACCATTCAGCTCCTCTCCCTTTGCCAACTCCCCTCCAACAATTTTTCTCTTCAGCCTTTCTCCATTCCTCACCTTTCATCACTTCTTTCTCTCTCCCTCCCTTAATTCTGTTTCTCTCCACAAATAAGTACTTTAAACCTTTTCCCCTAAATCCACAATCCCAACAACTGCTCCCACTACAGACAACATCACCCTAAGGGAGCAGTATCTCTCTATTTGACAAATAGTCTATTGGTCAGGTCCCACTCCAAAGCAGAATGGAGCCAATTCAAAACACCACCACTTTCATTTAGGAACATGGGGTGGTTTTTTTTCAAAAGACTGTTTCAGAGCCAGTAAAAGCAGTGGTGTAAAACAAGCTGGCAAAGATGAAAGACCTCTTGTGAAGAGGTGAGAGAAAGCAGCCAGGAGCAGGAAATTTTTAATAAGCTTACAGCTCAAAGAAAAGAAAAATGGCACCCAAGCATAATGCTTGCTGATCATTATTCTATCCACTGTAGTTGTGAACGATATTATTTCCCCCTTTGTCTTCACAGTGAATTCAAGTTTAGAAGTCTTTAGACTAGGGATTCTTACTCCCTGTTTGCATTCTGACCTTCTGAGGCAAATGTATAGCACTGATCCAACAGTCCAAGACAGACGAAGCTGCTACCTCTCCATGTCCCCAGGTCCAACCAGTAGTGAGTCTGGAGATGTGTTCCCAGCAGACCCATACACAAGAGCACACTTATACACCACATACATACATGGCTGGCCACACAGATCACAGACATTCAGAGCACTCACACTAACACAGACGGCACAATGGCCTCATCCCCCTCCCCTCTGGCTGAGCAGGACGAAGGTCCACTAATGAGAATATACATGCACACAGGTACAGGGTGGATCCTTCTTCCAGCAACTGTGCTCCGACATTGAGTCTGGCATTCATTCCATGCCTGGACCCCAGGGCTGAGGCTCTCCTGGGACAGTCCTGGGAGGGCCGGGACAAGCGAGGTCCTTGTGCCTCCCTTCATTCCTTAGGAGTCCTTAATTTGGTTTCCTGCCTGCCCTTGTGCTCCTCTAGGCTTGTGGAGATGGGTCTTTGATGGCTCCTGTGACGGACCTGGGAGTAGCCTGGCAGGGCAGGCTATTATTTGAGCTTCCCCTCCTGCCACTGTTTCTCCGAGCTCCTTTGTGGGTGTGCAGACGAGCTTTTATCACATAACCTAACGCTGACTACACAGATGAACTTACTATTATTTGGTTCTTTGATGCTGCTAAATTACAACAAATAATGATTAAAAAAGTAAATTTTTTGCAGAATGCCTGAAACACTCAAGCCCACCTAATTTGCTTTAGTGATCTAAAAGTGGCTTCACAATCTATTCAGGAACTCTGCAGGGACCCAAGAATTTCTATTCTTGTCTCCCAGACAAAATGTAAGAGATTAGTGCATGTGATGACTTCCATTAATAATTTTAACAAACACAAAATATTTGCAGTCTTCCAGAACTGCATACTTTTTCCACTCTTGGCTGTTCTTTATGTGCTTCATCTGCTGCAAACAGCTAACTTGTTTAATAATTTTAAAATTAGATGCATCTACTAAGAATTATCTGTGTGAAACTCGGCCAAAATATTTACAGATGGACACTAGGAATCTGTTTTAGCATATTAACTTGTATCCATTCATTATTCCTCAATGCAATTACCTCTTCCCCAACATCAGCTATGCATGCATATATACAGTATGAACAATAAGCACATTTATCCTGTGTTTTAATCTGATGTGAGCTTCACGGATAGCTCACTTTTTCTGTGACTTAGTTTCTCAAAATGTCTCACCAAGTTAATGATGCTCATCAAATCTGCAAAGTACTTGAAGACTTGTTGATGAAGACCCCTATATATAGTTTAAAATATTATTCTGTTGATGATTGCCTAGTCTGGGTTTAAAAAGGCACACATTCCATTAGACTACTATTTTTAAATTATGACAGCATTTGAACACCAAAAGGAACTATGAGCCAAAGTACCTTCAGTCCTTCTGAAAACCTCCCCTATATCTTAGGTCTATTTCTTTACTTTTGCAAACATGTTTCATTGCCTTATGCTGTTGAATATTCCTTCCTAACATGTGGTACAGAATTAACATCAAATGCTAAAAAATCCCTCCCATATATGGTAGAGTATTGAAAACCAAAGCTCTTCAAAACATTTTCTCTGTAGACAAAAATATCTTCCACAGGGTTCGCTGAGACAGACTGCCAAGTCTGCAGCCACAGGGAACACTGGATTAGAGGAGCCCACTCTAAGCAGTGGATTTACTTTTTCTTTTTAAAGCTGCATATACGCTAGCTTTGCCATTTCAGCAATTACTGGCATCAGAGTGCTCATTTATCTGTAGGAGTAATTAATGAAATGCCTATTTTTAAATAAACTAGTGGCAAATCAATAGTATCTGATAATCTCCAATGCACAAATTCCTGTTATAAAGCAGTGAACTATTAAAAAAAAAAAGCCTGCAGCATTCATTTTATGTTCAAAGACAACATAGTGTAAAAAAAAAAAAATGGAAAAAGAAACAACTAGACCAGAACACCATATAGAACAGCTTCCACCTCAGTCACTCTTTTCCTTAGTAAAGTGATGCTTTATCAACAGATAGGTGCAAGATGTTAACTTTTACACCCTACTCGCTGGATTTTTTTTTTTTTTTTTTTTTTTTTTTTTTTTTTTCAGTCAGGAAACAATCTACATCAATAGAACTGATAGGAAATACCACTTTTTTTGTCAATACCTCCTTTTAGTGCAGGCGGTAACACGCACATTAATTTCAAGCATACACAAGATGAAAAATGTTTTCACTGTGTAAGTGCAGAGTAGATTAAAGTTCAGCTTACAATCATGATATCCTTAGGTAACTGAAAAGGATTTCAGTGTGTTCAGGTCTTTTAAATTGGTTTTTAAGGCTCCTGTGTGATCAGAAGACTCCCAATCCCCAATGGAAGTCACTCAGTCACATAGATTACTTAAATCTTACATCTATTTCTGTTGAGAATTTCTAGCTAACATGAAAAAACTTAGTACAACACAGAACAAAGTCATACTTCAGAGCTGCAGGAGCACAAACTGGCAATTTACCGCTCTAACACTATCCACATTTTTCAAAGTAGACGCTATAAAATGACATCTATCATATGATTTTAACTCCCATGATTGCAATGCACAATGTAATCACAGTCAAATGTATGATGATTAGCTGAGTTACTTCTGAAATTACAGTTCTATGAAGCAAGCAGTATTTCAGTACTACCTTAATTATACAGACTGACATGTTTAGGAAAGACATCTTCACTAAAAATGCAACAGGATAGGACAAATTTCAAATAGTATTTCCATAAATGAAAAACACACCACCCTGGTTAGCGTCTATAAAATAATTAAGAACAACCAAAACTTTGGGAAAAAAACCACAAACTCAACTGAGAAATTTCATTTCTCCTGCTTATTATATTTACAAAGGTAGTGGTTTCAAGTGAGCCAATATATTTTAACTTTGTATTAAAAAATCTGTCCAAGAACCTGGTCCTACTGAGTTCCAGGCATCGTCTGAGACAACGGGAAGTCAGTAAGCCTGATTAATACAGTGGTCTAGATAATGGCAGCCTATACCATGAAAAAGTTAATCCCTTCGACTTAGAGTGTGCTGCTGAAACACCCAAACTGGCTTCAAAGGTAGCTCAGGTCCTCAGGTCCCACATAACACATTTTGCTTATTTCAAGTTGTCATGTCAGTTGTCATGGTGCAGCACTATGGTCAATTATAAAACCAACTTGTTTGTAGAGGATGGATATGTCTATTCTTGTGCCACAGTTAATCTGCAAACCAGACAGTTCGCCTATGGAGTATAAAGAGTTGACTTCAACTGAAAATTTACACCTAACATGAGTGAGGCCAGGATTTCACCAGTCTGCTTTCGAGAGGCCTATTCCCACTTCCAGCAAAACCAGCAGCACTATCTATTGACTTCAATGATTCAGGAGCAAATATTAGTATGTTGTCACAGGTCATGAAGACAACTTCCTATAGAGTACTTAATTTGGTCAATACATCTATCACAGCAACTCGACAGAAAATACAAATCCCTATAAGCACAAAATAGTTATCCTCATCTGATTATGCAAGTGTAGCTAATAATACAGGGTAGGAGTTATACGCCGCTCAATTTAATGACAGTAGAGAATGAAAACAAAGCATTTTTAAAGCATATGCATTTTCTTAGGAAAACGTGATGCTTTAACACCCCTTTTCCACAGCTGCTATGTCCTCATACTACATATTTTTACCTAAAACATTCACATACAAGACTGACACTTATAACTTCAGCACAGAAAGCTAAACATGCATGTATGTTTCACATATCCATATATATCCATACATAGAAAAACATGTATGTAAATTTTATATATGGAATACAAATGCACATAAGCTGACACACTATTGAAATATGTTGCTTAATTTGAGTTCAGCACCAACTAAAGTACAATGAGTTCATGAAAATTTAAATAAATTTGGGACCTTCTCTGCTTACTAAACAACACATAAGAGTAAAGAAAAATCTCACAGAAGCAGCATACCTGTGTTCATTTTGACACTGGAGGATTTGCTATAAAAGTCTTCAGATGTCCTGCGGAAAATAAAACGATCTATTAATTTGCACAAGACAAAAATGTATGGTACAAAATGGCAGCAGGACTTCTCAGAGGGGTGGAGAATCACTGTGATACAAATGACAGTCCTATTTTAACACAGCTTTAATTAAATTGGTACTGCTTGTCCTTCCAAAGTTAAAGATGAGCTGTCGCTTCCATTATAAGCTACTCTATTTTCAAGTGTTTAGTATCTCTGTTGTAAACATTTGCTCTGGGATAAAAAACTAGTGATTGACTTTTGATGTTGAAACTCTAAACTACTCCCCTACAGGAATGAGGAAATATTTTTAAAGGCTGCTTATAAGCTTCATTCACTTCTTTGTGCAAACTGAACTATATGAAGAGTAGGTGTCTCTGAATATTTTTTAAGCAGCAAAAGTTACCAGGTCTTTTTCAATGGTTTTAAGCAGGAGATGTGGCTGTTTTCATCCAGTGATTTACTGTGTCTCTACAGACAACACTGACACTCTTAATTGTTGCTCACTGTATTGCTATGCACAGAATCAGGGCATGTGTCTTGGTATCCACAGGAATCCATTTCAAAACTCCCAATGGAGTCAATAGGTAGGGAATCAAGTCACTGTACATCAATGTGCTTTTTAAAGGTAATAATTTGCACCAAAATTATGTAAAATGCACGCAAAGGTTGAATCTCTTTATTTAGATATCCCAACTCTACACAGTACTCACAAACAAACAAATAGTAAACCCCCACAAAACCAAACTACAACTGCAGAAAAAGCACGACATCCTACATTAACAGGTAACTTTAACCTACTGATGGTATGTCACAGGACAAACTAGACAATATTTTCCATCTACTGCCAGTTTATGTCACAGCTTTATTTTAGGATCAGGAGCTCTAATACCTCTTCTATTCAGGCTCTTTTAGAGATAAAAAGATAAATGCAGAAAAGGTTTCCAATGGCTTCTGCATACTGGCCAATCTCAGCTGTATCGTTACATATATGCTGCCCACGATAACTTACTTTACTGAGTGGGCAGACACACTGGAGCCCAAAATACTGAGGGCTAAAAAAAAGTCATTCTCCCTCTGCACTGTTCCCACATCAAGTTCAGAATAAAACAAAGGGAAAATCAGAATTTTTCATGTAATACAGCTTCAGAAAATAAATTAAAAATATAAACTGCCCGACCATGTTGGAGTAAGGTGGAAGGTATGCTTGAGGGACCCTTTTTATAATGGGAGACTCTAAATACTAATTAATACAAGTAAACAAAATGTTGAAACAGAATCCCAGCTCAACTCATCAGGAACCCTGAATTAACTGTACTTCTGAGGTAACATATATACTGCTGTATTCTCTTGTATTCATAATCAGACCAGATTCTCCAGTGCTTGAAATACTTACTGTTTTTCAGAAAGTATCTGAACTCTGCTGCTATTATTCAGTCAGTTTTGTGACAAAAAAGATGCACGTTAAACTTCTTGGAAACTATGGAAATAGATATGTGGCAGTGAATAAAGTTTTACTACATTCTTTTTATGCTACAGCTATCAGAAAACTACGTCTGAGAATTTCTAAAAGATCTTTTAAAAATTAGGGCAAATTCCATTTTACTCATTTTTTGATAAATTGTCTTTTGACTGAGATTTTGGATTTCTGTAACATTCTGTAACATTCTTAAAGCCTCAAATTCCTGCAGTGTTTTCAGGCTGCTAGAGGAGACACCATTTTCAAGCCTTCTTTTAGCTTGGAACTGAATCACTGATGGTACCGCACGCAAGCTATGAAATGCAACATGATATTTATTTTCAGACCCAACAAGTACAGAACTCTTGGAACGCTGCAGAGCCAAAATGATTTCTAGCAGGTGGCTTTGATATATTTACATAAAGCGTGCTTAACTCTTACTCAAGTTTTAACAGACAACACTCAATTTTAGCACTACAGCTTTGTCCTCCTAAAATTTTTCCTATCTGAACAGCTTAGGCTGCATTGCTGACACTCAGCGAGGGATTGCATACAAATCACTAACATTTCCACATTAACCTCATTTTGCTGAAGAAGAAATTAGTTTTTTGTACCTGAAAAGTATGCATGTAAATAAGGCAATATAAATCACACTCATGCAAACAGTAGGCCTTGCATTTAATACTAAAATTATTTGGAATTCTCTGCTTCTAAGGAGCTGAAGTAGCATTCAAATATTTAATGATACTGGCAGTAGGATCCAAACGAATACAATGAACTTAGCAGCCATATGCCTGAAAGCATTTTACTGAGCATTGTTTCAAGCAGTCTTTAAGATGCTTACTTCAAGAAAGGGCGGAGGGGGGCTGGGGGAGCAAAGGGCTTTTTTTGCTTTGTACTTCTGTTCCTACTTCATTGCCTCCTGTGAATTGTTCTTTGTGAATGGGTTTGTAAGTAGCTCTAATATAGACCCCTGACAGAGGCGAGATGAATGTCCACTGGAAGCATCAGACACTCTTCACTGCCAAAAAGGATGCCCAATGAATGATCAGCTAAGATACTCAGCTTTTAGATAGCTTTTAATGCTACAACGGAAGGAATGCCCATAATTATTGTGCAGACACGAAGCGCTACTGGAACACATGAGTTTGCAAAATCAGAGACTGCTGTTCAGTCACCTAGATCAGGCAGGTTTTCCACTAAGCTCACACCTGATCTTAGATGCTGAGGTAAAAGAACACTAAGTTTAACCACAGTAGCATGCCTGATTTTTGCAGAGGGAGATCCAGGATTAATCTTCATGGCATTCTTCTATAGTTGGCTTCATCTGGCAGAGGTAGCGCAGTAGGAAATGAATGACTGCTCTAATACACAAAAATGGGTCTGTCAGGTTGAATACAGCTGCAGTTACCATTGCTACAGTTTCACTAAACACGTAATATGTATCGCTGTGTTATGTCGTGATAACTCCCTACATTTCTTGATAACACCACAAAGATTACCTCAGCTCAGCAACACTTCGCACTGAGAGAGGCTACTGAAAAGACTTGTGGGAATCTCACTGACACCTGCTCTATTTTCTCCAAGAGACCCTGATAGCTAGTTGTGATCTCTGCTTCTGTTCCTGGTAAGTTCTGAAGTGTGGGGTGCTGCAGGGAGCCATTCTGTCACCCCTTCTGTTCCACATTTATATGGAGCTATAAAAAGGGTTAGTGAGAAGTCAAGGAAGGTTTCCCTGCCCACAGTTTATTCATGAATACGAGACACATGTCTTTACTATTAGAGGTTTAATTCCATTATTGATCAGATGTTAGAGCACCTACAGCTGTAAGGTAGGAGCTCTAACATCTAACCAAACACCAACTAAATGAATGTGAGCAAGAGCTTTGTGAATCAAAGCCTAAAGCCTAAGTGAGTAGTAACATGCTATTACCCGATTGCACCTCATTCAAAGAATTAAGTTAATCATTGTTAATAACCATAATCACCTAAGGATAGAGACCATCAGAAGTTAGAATATCCTTTCCATGTAAAATTCCGGAAAGAACTGGGAGGTAAAGGAAAGGAGATTTTTTTTTTTTTTGAAGCACATATAGAAACGCCAAAAATTATCATTGCAGCTTTATCAATAACCTAATATATTGCAAATTCCTAAATGCCACATAGGCATATCAGATCAAAGGCATCCAAGCTCATGGATAACATGCTCTGTAGCCATGGAGTCTAGACCCTTTGAAATCCCAGGCTTGCCAGCTGTGTAGCTAAACAGTGGCCAAACTCCAAAATGCTAGTTGCCTGCTTGCTTACACAGGTTTTGAAAGGCCCTTAAAGAACACGGTGGTAAGTCACCTTGTCTGGTATGTTTTGAATCAGAGCATACAGACTCTATTGCTGTTTCAAAACAAGCTGGCAGTTTCCGCATAGATTGTGTCTGAAAATATTTTTGACCTATTCTACTTAATATAGTCAGAGTATGAGAGAGGCTCAAAGAGAAAATACTTATTTTTACAACCCCCCTTCCCCACCAACAGCAGGCCCTACAGTTATATTACAGGCATTCTTGGTGCTGAGTACTGTAGGGTAAATTGTAAGTTTGATTGATTTGAACAAACTAAATATTTTCCCCCAAGGTATTCAACACAACTTTTATAAGATGACAGAGATCAACCAGACTGTGTTAATGGACTAATGACTTTTCTTAACAGATTCTAAGTTACCTATTATTTACTCCTTGCCATTTCACAAAAAATATTATAAAAAGCAGGTTTAAAATATAATTTTCTGATACAGTATTTATATTAATTTTAAAGCTAATTCTAGCATGTGCTCTTTATAGTTACCATCCTTTGTAATGAGTTCTACCCCAAGGACCTTTGCTGAGAGGAGCAACTGGCTTACAATACAGAGTGCAGATGGATCAACAACAGGATAGATGTGTGTGTGATCTGGCTGGAAAATGATAGATTTTCATTGTCTTGGGTAGACAGCAGTGCCCAGATATTTGGAGAGGACAGGAGCTTTCCAGATTTGCGTGAGAAGGAGTGTCAGACTTGCATTATTGTTGTTTGCCAGTTTCACAGTTTGAGCTAGAGACAGTAATCTACTTTAGAAAATATCTGCAAAATTAAGGAGCCAAATCAGCCAGTGATTTTACTCCAAGGATTGTTTATTCAGTCTGTTTAAACATGGCAGGTGATCTACAAACACATATTTATTACCAGGCAGGATTCTATATCCTAATTTGCATGTGGCAAAAGCATCTTTTAACTCTGCAGAGCATTCCTGTTCCCATCTCTGCAACAGGCCAATATACTTTATATGCCAATATACTTTATATACTCATACATTCAGTGAAGGAGGGAAAAAAAAAGTATGAAGCTTTAGTTCTGGAAAATAGTGAAGCTGACTATTTTACTTCTCTCAGTTTTTAAAATAAATTATTTCAGATGTTTAGCTGTAGCAGGACGACTATGGCAATGAGAATGCAATGAGACCTTGACAGACCTCAAAATGTTTAGATTGTGGCAACAGCGAC